GCAATCATCAAAGACGTGTTTGCCCTTCTGCAGTAGAAACACTTCCCGGACTTCTTCTATACTACTTCTGTCCTAATCTCCTTTGAGGGTAGTGCAGATGAGGGGGTGCCTGTAGCTTGGTTGGTGATATCCTCCTTAATAATCTCTGAAGTTTTAGGGCAAACTTCTTTGTCACCCTCCTGTACCACGTGTCCATTGCCCTGTCTCCCTGGATCAGAGCCTGAGGCCCAAGACCCCATAGCATCCCTAAAGTTAGTGAGCAGAGATATGTGTTCTGACGTTGTCAATCTTTGAGATTCCCCCATTCTGCTCTTCTTGACTTTTTCTGCTCTTCTTGACTTATTCCATCACCACTGTCCCTTGAGGAACCTATGACTGCTCTCTCTGCAGGTCTGAGTATGACTCTCAGGAGCAATCGCAGGGGTCTCAACTTGAACAGTTTCCTCAAACTGTCGACCAGTTGTAGGCAAAGGTACATGTTGGGTAGCCAAGGACGTAGGTGACTGCCATTCAATTTTCCCAGGTTTAGATTCCTTCCTCCTCAATACCTCCTCTGGTTCCAGCATGACTTTGTCAAGCAAAGGGACACTCACATTTGCCTGTTGCTCTGCCCCTGCCTCCTTCTTTTGATGCTTGAAGAGGTCCTCAACTGATTGTCCCTTGATACCAAAGCTTTGGACCTCAGTCCAATCCACCATTGTTGTACTAGGCACTTGTTGAGCACATTTGATCTCAATATCCCTCAGCCTCTTTTCCCATTCAACCTACTTCACTTGGAAGGAGGTTTGCTGTGTCTGGAGTTGCCACCTCAGAACATCGTTGACCTTATTAAGGGTCTGGTTGACCAACTTGAGGGTCCCATTCTCAACCCTGATGTCCACGATCTTAGTCTTCATAACGTCCACCTTCTTTCCTTGTCTTTCCACCTCTTTCTTCAAATTTTCAATCTCTCTTTCCCAATCCACCCTCTGACCATGAGATGCTTGTGCCACCTTTGTCAGTCTCCTCCCCATCTTCTCATCAGAGACCTTTGTTGCTGCAAAACCTTCCTTCATAAGACTTTTCAGACTAAGTAAGTATGTGGAGACTAACTCAACCCCCGTCTCTTGATGCCTCTCCGTGGGTCTGTCTCCAACCTCCATCAACCTGTCAAAACTCTCCCAGGCTTCTAGGAGTAGAAGAGGGTCATCCTTCTCAGTTGTCTTCTTGGCTTTCACTTCTACCGGTCGACTCCCTTGTTGCATCTTGACCTTCATTTCTACCAAGTTTTTGAGTATGAGGTGAATCCTGATCTCCTTTTCTCGTGCAACTTTCTCCATCTTACCCACCCCTCTTTCCTTGGCAGATTCCCCCTTCTGCTGATCTCGCCTTGCTGACTCATGAGGTAGACCAGGCTTTCTTCCGGGCTCAAGACACTCATCAGGCATCTGAGCATATTCTGGAGGTGGTCCTGGATCACCTGAGCCTCTTCCCCTTCATGCTCCCTTAGTCGTTTGTCCTTCCTTCTTCTCATGCCTGTGAGTTGTGTACCCCTTCCTTTTTTTTCTCCTATCCTCGTGTTCCATGGGGTGCATCATGTTCCACTGCTTGCCCCTGTACTCCTTCTGGTTCTCTCCTTTTTTTTTTCCATCCCTCTCTTGTTGTCTGCTTGGCGCTTAGGAGTATAATAGTCCCTCAATAGACACTTGCAATCTCCCCAGTTTGTGGTTCTCTCCACAATAGTCCTGACAAAAGACCTGATGGTCTTCCTCACAAACTGAATGAACCCTCCAACTTTGGATTCGGGCAAAATGTTATGTTCGTCTGCAAACAGATCATAGGCGCATAGGAACTCTTCCAAATTGGAAGAGTCGAAGCGAATGGGCAATCCGTCTCTTCCCAAAGGTGATGGGTGCAACCCCTCCATCTTTCTCTCAAACTCCTACTAAGTGAGTGACTCTCTTCCCCTTCGTGCTCCCTCAGTCGTTTGTCCTCCTTTCTTCTCATGCCTGTGAGTTGTGTACCCCTTCCTTTTTTTCTCCTTTCTTCGTGTTCCATGGGTTGCATCATGTCCCACTGCTTGCCCCTGTGCTCCTTGTTCTTTTTTTTTTTTTTTCCATCCCTCTCTTGTTGTCTGCTTGGCACTTAGGAGTATAGTAGTCCCTCAATAGACACTTGCAATCTCCCCAGTTTGTGGCTCTCTCCACAATAGTCCTGACAAAAGACCTGATGGTCTTCCTCACAAACTGAATGAACCCTCCAACTTTGGATTCGGGCGAAATGTTATGTTCGTCCGCAAACAGATCATAGACCCATAGGAACTCTTCCAAATTGGAGGAGTCGAAGCGAATGGGCAATCCGTCTCTTCCCATAGGTGATGGGTGCAACCCCTCCATCTTTCTCTCAAACTCCTGCTAAGTGAGTGACTCTCTTGCGAAATTGGCAATAGGCTCAACCCACTCACCACTGCCTCACACCTCTGCTAACATTCTGGAGTAATGTTCTCCACGAAAAAGACAACTCTTAAAAAATTCGGCCACTGATTAGACCTGCCATCAGTCCATTTTGCAAAAAGGTTCATAATGGTACTATGTCCTCTTTCTACGGGTGCGTTAGCCTGAGGGTGTGTTGCAGTCATGTACTCGGCGATCGCACCATATTTTTTCAAGAGCGTCTTCACTTTTGCACAAGTAAATTTTGATCCCTATCCATTACGAACCTTGAGATGAAAGAATATCGAAGGTAATATTATTCAATGCACCGAGTTAATACTTCTCCAGTCTTCGTGCGAATAGTTGTGCCATCCACAAATCCTGAAAGATCGTCTCGTGCATCGAATATATAATTATGTCCTCCTATTCCCAAAGGCATCGCCAATAGATCCAGATGAACGATTGCTCCAACTTCACGTATATATCTTGGGTGAAGTTGTTCCCTAAGTCTAAGGGAAAATCGTTCCTGACACGGTACACAAGACTTACAATAATTGTTAATCATGTGCCCCATGCCATCCCAATAATATAAATCGTGTAGTACTTCTATGACCATCTATTGTCCCATCATGTAGGGCAACCATAACATCAATCTGTTGAGTGACGTCATAGATCACCTTTCTAGGATTCCTTCCTTTACTCCTCATGAACAGATGATTGTCCCTTAGTAAGAAATTTGGCCGCATCTTAAGGACTTTTTCACTGACATCTCTTTCCATGATTTCACATGAAAGAAGTAACCCTCGTTCCAGATATACTCCATCACATTCCTCTGTGGGAAAGACTTTTTTTATCTCACCTTCCTCAAACTCATTGTCGGATGTTGTTCAGACAAGTCTGAACAACATCCGACAGGTGGTGCGTCTGTCGGGAGGGCCCTCGCTCACACGGGGGCCGATGCGCTCGACAGGTGGCGTCGTTGCCGGGGATAACGGCAAACTACCGTTGTCACTAGCGGAACTTGTCGAGCGCATCAGCCCCCGCGTGAGCGAGGGCCCTCCCGGCTATGTCACGCAGGAGTAAAAATGTTACGGACTTCGCCAGGGCTCGATCCCTGGTCTATCTTTTGTTGTTTTGGCTGCATCCCGTTCTCGGCCTGGCACCATTTTTCCAAACCCCCCCTTTGGTACCATAGGATTTTGGACAACTGGCGCCATGCTGCAATTTGGGCGCCACTTTCAAATACTGCATTTTTCAGTTCTGCCCTCGGGGCCTTTGCAGAAATGCCCCTGGTACCGTACGTGTCACCGGTACTTATACCGTCTCCGCGTACGGTACGGGGGGCAGTCTCATACCAGTTCTCTGCTGTTGTACTCGTATTCAGTGTGACTTGTTGTTTCGGCATTCGGAATCCAAGACTTCGACTTTGTGCCTTGCCACTGTGTTTGCGTCCGATCCTCAGTCCGAGTCCGTCGTGTCGAGTGA